CTAATACAAACTTCACTCAATTGTAACCAATAATAAGTTGATTGTTTAACAGTCATTTAACTTGATAACCGAGTCTACCCATATAGTGAAAACCCATGTAAATAGCGAAAAATGGCAATTTTTACTGGTTTCTTTCTTAGTTTTCGTTGATCTTTCAACTAATTTTCATCAAACTTAACAATTGCTTCATAAATGTATCCTCTTTTACATCCCTGGTAGCACACTGACAAATTGAATTTCAAAAATCTAAAATAATTGTGGTCTGAAGTGAGTCTTCATGTTGCCAGTTTTACCCCTTCATGTCCTCAGCTAAATTTGATTTAATAAATACAGACTACTTCTGTTATGTGTGGCACCATGCATCCTGACGATTTGAAAGAAATATTCATAGATATATAATTTGTTTTTTCCAGTTTATCAACCATTTAATAATTATTTAAGGCCGAAAAATATTTTAGGTTTAAGAATAATTTTTCTTTACATTCAAGCGATTTGGGAGAAAGAAAGAAAAACGAAGAAAAAAAAGAAAAAGAAAAATAATATTAAAACGGGTCATAGGCTAACACACACACAAACGGCTAGAATTGATAGGTAGCAGATGTCGAAAAATATCTAGGTCACCTACGAACAAGCATTTGACCGATTTCCGCGTCCCACGAAAAAATGGAATTTTGTTATCAATTGGATGTCACCCAAGGAAAAGAAAGACCATTGTTGAACATTGACGAAACACAGACAGTTTTCAGAATTAGAAAAATCCCACCCAAGAAGTTTTCACTGGCAAAATTTTTCTTTCTTTTGACAGAATAAACGCTTGCCCTGCAATAATAAAGATTTTCGTTATCAACACGAGCCGAAAGGAAAATGAAATATTTTTATTTCGCTTCAGAAACGCCAGCTAGCCTAGGGAATTCCTTCTTGGATCATGTCCAATTAGCGATAAACTGCTTGACAAATACCACGTGTTAAAAAGCCGAGAGTGTCATCTCAGTCGCTCATGATAAGGGCGATTTAATTAATATTTTTTTTTTTTTTGTTAAGCAAGGTATTTCTTTCCCTAAACAAAACCGCGGATTGTGCACGCCCGAATAAGACGTCAGTGGCCAAGTAGATCACATGACGCACGAAGGAGGAGGAAAGATACCCGACCAGGACCTCATTGGCCGAGAGCGGTCACGTGACGCACAAAGAAAATCGGTCGACACCTCTATCAGAAGTGTAAGTGTGAGGAGCCGATACGAAGAAGTGGGGAAGTTAGTGCACGCCCCTCAGAAGCACAGTAAGAGAGTGGGAGTGAGAGGAAAGTTACCTAAAATGGAAAGGAGTAAAAAAAAAAATCCCTAACCAGAAATAAGAAGGGTGGAGATGTATTTAGAATTAGCGAAGACAGACCCACCCCAGTTTTGACGGGGTCAATAAAAGCGAGAACCCAACCGACAGAAATCAGTTCGTTCGACCCAAGCTGGAAAGAAGAAGTTTGAGTTCAGCCGCGGACCCTGGCGACAAGTTTTGAGCTTTGGACGACAAGCAGAGATGAGTGCCCAGTGTTGAAACCGCGTCAAGATAGCTGACCAAGATTCACGCACACTTTTGGCCTCTTCTTCAACCAAGAACAAGTAGTTTGAAGAGCGACTTAGAATCAGACCACAGAAATAAGTTTTTTCAACTTTCGGTCCAAAGACACACCAAACACAAATTTCTTAGAGAGCAGACAACTTGAAGCCTTAAAGTTTGCCTAGCGAAAAGCTGCCGTACCACAGTCCACAGGACGGATCGGGAAGTAGACACAGTCCTATGTACCGAACAAATAGACATAAAAGTTTGTTACCTTTTTCTTTGATACTTTGGACTTTGTGAGTTTTCATTTTTCTTTTATCCATAATTGTGTGTTATCACCCCCATTGAACTCAGCTTGCATTACGGCCCCGACCCCTGTTTGATCTCATCTGTCTAAGATCAATTCACAACGTGGGTAGACAGACTGGGGATCAGTGCAGTTACCCTGGTAACCAGGCGTTGGAAGCAGGTTGGGAACGGCGAGGCTGGTATCAATCTAACCAGATTCCTACCCGAATCACCAAAGGGTTAGAACGTCACGTTTGGAGCAGCGAGGAGCGAACAGCTGACGCCGCGGCGAAGACGTCACAATGTCAGTGACTGCATTAATTCAAAATGTTTTTTTAATGAAAGTACTTTAAAGCAATTGAAGAAGATAGACAGTAACATCTAAACATGATGCTGTTTTTGCTCCATTCTAATTGAATGCTTTTTCTGATTGACCAGTTGGGTATGACTGATAATTTATTCATACTTTCAGGATATATACTAATTGGCTTAGGGAAGAGGGAGGGAGGGTTAATGTGTTTATAGAGATCATTCAAATATTTAAATCTGAACCCTTCCTACATCCAAATATTCTCTCTTTCTCTCTCACAAACACACACCCCATTCTGGGTCCCAATCCATTTCACTATTCCAGCTTTACTCATTGTGATGCTTTGACTCCAGGTAACTCTTGCTCTTTTCTCTCATTTATGTCGGCACTATTCCAACTTGGCTTAATATGGCACAAGGCCAACTCAACAAGGATTGAAGTCATTATCATAATGATCACATGAGACAGGTGTGTTAACAATTGTCTCCGGGCAATGTGTCATATCCCATATTACTAAACACTCCCTACACAAATTGAAAAAAACTTGTATTGACTTGTTAACCATCACACCATATTATAACCTCAGACAGAACCCCTGCCAAATTCTGAACCCAAAGCAGAATGAACACACACACACAAATATGGTGGTTACTTCCTTTGATTAGTCATTAGCTATTGGTGTAGTGTTCATATTGAAACATGAAAAAAATTACTACTTAGAATCAATATTTTCTCTTTTTCACCATAGAATGTGAAATTGGTTTTACACATTCTTCATGCTAGTATTTTAGTGCAACATTTCAGCAATATATTCTTCAGACTTCCTCAAATAAATGTTGCAAATACATTTTAAAATTAAAAAAAAAAAAAAAAAAAAAAAGACTGAAGAAATATATAATAAAAAAGAAACAAAAACAAAAAATTAAGTAAAACATTTTTATGTGAAATACGGCTTATGAAGATAATATTCCAAATAATTCATAGAATTGTGGAAATATTTAATTTCAGAACTGCAGAAAAAAATGATTTTTAAGATAATAAATAAAATAATGGCTTTTGAGAGAGGGAGTGACAAAATCTGGCAAAATGTTTTCAATCTTTATGTTCCCACAAGAGAAATTGTTATGGAATATTAGTTAATATTGAATCTTCAACAACTAAAGATGAGCACATGGTTGGAAGATGGTAAAAACAACAAAGAGAAAGATCCTAGTCCAAAAAATACAAAGAATAACAAACAATCTGATCTCAAGAAGACAATGACAGACGATTTCACTTTGGTTAGAAAAGAAGGAAGATAAATGCAGTTGACAGGTTTGACATTTTAAGGTTTCTTTTTTTGTTTTTTTTTGTCTTTTAGAATTGTTCAATACTTCAGCTTAATAATGTCAATCAAATGATGACTGTTATAATTCTTACCAGCATGAGAAGAAGATTGAAGAAACCATGTTAACAAAGAATCAGTTCTGTATTAATTCATATGAGAAGCTGTCAACAGAAGACAAGAACTGAATGCAAAAGTTAATTTCGGATAGAAAAAAAAAAAGTCTAAAAACAACTTATACTGAACTTTAGTCCAGATGCAACATTTGGGAAAGGTTGGAGAATGAGCAGATAAAAACAATAAAAATTTTTCATAGCAAAATTCAGAAACAAGTTATGTATAAATTTGATTAGACACACTTTTAGAAAAAGAGAGCAACAAATTCTGCCAAAAATGTCCATGCAAGACGAGTAACCAAAGCACATAAGATGACAAAAACTTACTGGCCATTTCTTTGACTATCATAGTCAGAAATAATGAGGGGAGAAGAGAAAAAATAAGAATAGACAAATGGAACCTGGAATCAGACATCATCAAATTCACTTGGCTGGGAAGAGAGAGAAATGCTGAATCTCCCACCAGAAGAGACAGGGGAGACTCTTATCAAAATTAAGGGTTTAAAAAGACACCAAAAGACTCATCAGATTTGTTTTTCCAAATAGAATGAAATAAAGCCCAAAGAATTCTGAAATTTATCATGAGCATTTCCATTTAAAATTATTGATTTCTCCTGTACCAAGATAAAATGGGATCAAGAAATAGAGTCCGGAGGGGGGGGGTGAAAATTGTATGCAATATTTAAGTTTACTATGGCAATATCACGAAGACTGTAGCTGGTGGCAGACAAAGAACTTATCCTATAAATCATTGCCTTTAATATTAAACAATTTCAACTTACACCAAAGGGGGAGAAGAAGATTGTGTAGAAAGGATTTGCCTTGAAAATTGACATTCAAAAACCTGTCTTTTTTTTTCTGCTCTTCTCTGTCCTCAAACACATGTGCTTTATTTACCAACAGAAAATATGCAACCCTAACTCCCTTAACAAGCACAAGTGATATATTTAGTTTGACATGTGGACAAGTTGGATGGATAGGCTTTTGTTAATCCCTGACTCTTCAATATGAGAATATACATGCCTTGAATGCTATCTGTCAAAATTATGTAGTTTTTTTTTCTTGTTTACTTAAACTTTAAAATCCACGTCTGTGGCTGATGAGAACACAACCCCTCAGCCACAAAGCAGAATCTCACATTACCTTAGTAAATTACCTGTAGTAGTAATAGTAGTTGGGCTTCAAGTAATTTGACCGTTTTTACATTAGTTCTTTCATCTCTGCACACAAACCACCCCATATTTAAAAGAAATTACCAAAGTTTATAAATGGATCTGTTATATCAGATCATAGACAAAAGAAATTTGGCACAAAAACCAGAATTTAAAGAATTTTTTTTTTTTTTTTTCCTTTAATGTCAGATGGAAGATGTATTGTGAGGGTGATTTGTCAGGTGATGACTAACTCTTTCCAATGGCCGATTTCATTGCTGCCACAGCATTGTCAATTTTATTGCTGTCAATGACAATCACAGTCCGCAAGGATTCCAATTCATCTTCCCACTGTCCATCCACAACTGAATCGCGCTGAGCAGCAACAGAATATGTGAAGTGACTTTTGGAAAACTGAAAAAGAAAAAATATATATATGTGCATTATATGTATATAAAAAAAATGAAACAAAGATGAAATAGAATTATGAATATAGCAACAATGTTTTAAAATGTCTATAAAAGCAAATGTTTTGGAATGATCAAATTGTAAAAAAAAATTTTTTTAAATTGCAGGTTGAGTATTTTTAAAACAATAATAAATAAAAATTTAAACTAAGTTGCCTCCCTTACATATTCTTAATGTTAATTGACTATAACGGAGGGCGTTTCATGCACATTTTCAAAAAAATTCACAACTATCAATTACATTAATTTTTGTCTTAGTAATTCAACTCTGAAGATGATCTTGGATGAGATTGAAAGTACTTGATAAAATAAAAGAAATAACCAAAACTATGGCATCTTTCTTAATCAGTTTTGTAACAGCACTAAGAAATAGACCCATGAATTTGAGAGGATTAAAATAAAAATAAACAGGCCTAAGTCCAGATTATTCAACTGAACATGCTTGAATGAATATATATATATATATATATATATATATATATATATATATATATATATATATAAAATCCATGAGTAAGTAATCCAAGTGAATCCTATTAATATAACATATCAACAATGATTCACTAAAGAGATGCTCAATATATTTACTATAGAGCATAGAAATGAATTACATAAAAATGAAAATTGAGTTTCATTTTTTATATATATATATATATATATATATAAGAAAAAATGTGTAGGGCACCTCAGTGTGGTGTATTGGTTAGCAAGTAAATATCTACTATAATACCTCCTTAGAGGGATTTGTAACGCATGGCTCATCTTTCAGTTGCGTCTCTGTCTTTGGGCAGAGTATGCTCAGGGGCTTCTCTGTCAAAGGACAGAGGGGCAACTGAGAAAATTATACTGAGAGGTGCCCAACCCTGGGGAACAGCTATCCAAGCTGTCACGCCCTCCTATTGCAGCAGAGGGAGGGATTGGTGCTCGCACCGAGGCCAGCGCAACCAATGGTTGTGGGGGCTGTAGGCAATTTTTGTCACATGTCTGGGTGCATGCGCTTGGGTCCTCACTTTAAAAAGACCTTGTGTCACATCTCGTCCAAGTGAGGGGACAAGTAAACACCATATAAATTACTATAATGTAGAGTTGGGGTATTTTAATCCCAGAATTCGTTGTATACCTGTTGCTCCAATATCACATTTATTCATATAGACTCCATAATATAGGTTTTACTTAATAATCTATTATGTTTCTCTAACTCTTCAAATGTTCAATGTATAACTAATTCTAATTTTTATTTTCCTATCTTTACACTATATTAATTTTATCTTATAAATTGTCCCCTGTTCTGTCTCCCATGAAATAAAAATAATTGTTTGTATGGAAAATAAGGATCTACGTACATCAAATCATCTTTAAATTTGAGTTCTTTTGTAGTTTATTGATGCCTAACACATCTACTCCTCCCTAGCTATTGTAATGATAGCCAAACCAAGAGTCCTCCACAGGAGCTAGCTTAAATACTACCTGATACGGCAGCTTCAAAGCTAGTTTATAATAAAACGTGCACTGCAATTTTGAATGCAAAAGAAAAAATAAATTATTCCCCTTGGACCATGAAAGCAACGATAATGGCTAGTATAATATATTAATATATATTTTTAACCTTGCATAATCTGGCAACCCTGAATCCAAGTTCAACAAAAATCATTCTCTGCACCTAACGTTTCTAAGGCTTTGTTAGGTGCAGGGAATGATTTTTTTTCTAAGGCTTTTGAATGAGATATGAATCATTGAAATCAGACCAGTGGAAGAGTTGCTTGGACACACACATGCACAAACACACACAGTACTTTATATATAAGACAACAGATTTTGACATAACATTACAAAAAATGTGGTATCAAATTTATCTTGGTAGTACAATTAGCAACAAAGTTATGACCATTCAAAATATTTTGTTTCATGTGCTGTTGAACAAAAAGATAATTTGAACAACATAACTCAAGATACAGGTTTCAAGAACGTTAAAAATCATTATAAATGTAATGTCATGAAGTCTTCAAGTAAAAGAGGGACAATGCTAATGGAATCAATAATTCTAAGACTAGCCTAAATATTTTGAAAATTTGATTCTCCAAAACAAAATCATAAAAATATGACACAGAAGGGTAAATTTGATTGATCGTATATGGTTTCATTTCATTAGTTGATGCCTTGTAACTTTTTCCTATGAATTTTTGGCTTCCTCCACATGAATAGGAGTTCATTTTCTAAAAAATAAAAATTATAGGCCAAAGGTGTGTGGTAGGGGGGACATCAAGGAGAAGGTGGGGCATGGCCAAAAAATAGTTGGGAACCACTTTTATGAATGATTCTCCTGCACTTCCTCTACTCATGGGGATTTACCAACTGAAATTTTTTATAAGACTGATAGCGCTAATATTTCTAGAACATTCCATATCCAGGCCATCACTTGAAACTGACATTAGACAAAAGTCCCATCTGAAGACAAATGTTGATTCCATTTGTACAGTATCTGTCAAAGGCCATCATAAATAATTTTTTCTACCTTTTTGTTGGAGTTAAATGCACTGAATGGAAATATCAATGATATGATTAAATGTCAGAAGTTGGAGTCATAATGAAACCCATTTTGGTCTTGGCGCTTGTAACTCAAGGTAACCTAAGGTAGCTCTTCATCACAATTGCTAAAGTTGTTTAAATACTCTGAATCACTGAGTGTCTTTTCTTCTTTCCTTCATCTGAGAGATGAGGAGTTGGTACTTACATAATTTAAAATATTTTCTTTCACATTTAACACACACAAAAAAAAATCTACATTGAATATCTATTTTTAAAAAATGTACTTGTAATTTTTCATTGCAATTCTGAAATTCCTCCAATAAGGGATTTTTCTATTAAATAAAGATATGTTTTAAGAATTGAAAAATGTCAAATTTGATATGATTTTCAAGTGTTAACATGAGAAGGTTACCATGGTTATAACAGCTCACATGTTACAGTGTCTAAATAAGCATTACTTTCACTAGATTTTAAGCACAAAATAAATATTATTTTCACAAAATCCAGTTATGCCTTAATTTTACTAATTTACTTTCAAGCAAAAGACAAATACTGGATTTTTAAATGTCATTTTCATTTGCTGTCAAGAGATTTGGGGAGTGATTTTGGCAAGGTTTTAAAAATGTCTTAAAAAATTAAAACCTTATTTAAGTAGTAAGATTGTTTGTTTTTGTCTAAATGCATTTTAAAGTTTTCTTGAGTAAATTTGTGGTAACCTAAGTCACACCAAACAATTTCCAATGGCATGCAGCCACAAATGACATATATATATATATATATATATATATATATATATATATATATATATATATAACAATATAAAATATATTGTAGAACAGGTATATTGACCTTTGACTTGTATAAAAATACATATCCTGTTGGCACAATGAATGATTTTAAAGATGCTAAATCGGAACAAATGGTTGCTGACCCCTGCTTTAAATGACCATTAAAGTTCTATTTTAATTTTTTATAGACAAACAAGAATGAGCAAAAAAAATAAATAAAATAAAATTCCCTGTTCATCATTGAAACAGTGATATAATTTAAAAAGATGTGGAATACAAATTAATCACACATAAGAAAGGATTATATCTTTAAAAAGAGAAAAACGGTTTACATACTAATTTTATCAAAATCATCTCATCAATAAAGGAGAGATCAGCAGTTGAAATGTATTTGCACTGTAAACTAGGGTAGTTTGGGATTATTATTGCTAGTCAGAAATGGAAAAGCTCACTACAATTCAATAACCACCAGATTTTTAAAAAGAATCTCAATTTTTTTTTGTGTGTATAAATGTATATTGTAAATATGAAGGTTCGTACATGGTATTATCAGAGAATAAAATAAATTTTCAATTTATTAGTAGTTTTCAAACATTTTCTCAATTTATAAGTAAGGCCAAATTAGATTGGGATATTTTTTTTAAATTTTAAAGATTATTGGGTAGTAAATAAAATATATAAAAAAGGCACTCACATTGTATTCGCCAAGTAATTTTTATAGTTATGTACCTCTTAAATTTCCCAAACATTACACTGTTGATAGATCTGTCAACACTTCATAAAAAAAAACCCAACTATGTTATTTTCAACTAAAAGTAAGTAATATTTAATTAAACTTAAATCAGTTAATTTTCATCAAGTTACAGAAAACTAGTTTTTGAAAGATTTTTTTTTAATAAAGAGAATTATGTTGTGTTAACATATTTGTCAATATGAACAAATTTATTTGTTTTTACTGAGAAGTAGAAAAGAATAAGATTCAAATCAATTTAAATTCAGTTTCAAATATGAAGTATTTTATTTACTGGAAATATTAAATTTAGTCTGTTTGCTTGGAATTAAAACTAAAATTAAAGTTTCAAGAAAGATTTCACACTTTTTAAAATGAATTTTAAACAGTATCTGTCTATCTGTCTGAGATGAGGTATTATGTAAACTATTTACATTATTCGGACTATTGTCCTCATCTTTGTCGCCATATTTATTACAAGGACACACGGCACAGTAGATAAAGGCATTGGTTAGATCCAGTGACAGGACCCAAAGAGTGTTAGTTCAATACCCGGTTAAGGCAGTGGAGAACTTTCAGAGGGGAATTAACAGGAGATAACTGATAATGGACATCCATTAAACATGGCACATGAAACTAGAACAGTCTACCCCAGTGAGTGAAATAAAGGATTCAGTTCAACATTCCAACCACCTGAAGAAGGCCGGAGTGTACAACAGCCGAAACGGTGTAATAAATATGGCGACAAAGATGAGGACAATAGTCCAAATAATGTAAATTCGGAATTTTAAACATGATGTATCTTTTTTTTTTTTTTTTGGAGGTACCTGGTAAAAAGTAAAAATTTTAAGTCAACTATCTCAAGGGAAATAACTCTGTAAAATCGTGATAAAAAAAAAAAAAAACAGAAAAAATACACTCTTTCTTATGCAACTGCTTTGGAACAAAGCTGAACTAGATTAAACTACAATTAGTCAATACCAGAGGTGAAACTAATATACAAATTAAAAGTTGTAATTCCTGCCAAATATTAAATAAAAATAATTTTATGACTTAATCCTTTGAGCCTTGCATTCCTTAACAATTTTAAACCCTCAGCCTGAGCTTCAAGTCAAAATTTGCAAATAATTGGTATGTAACGTTTCACAGTAGATATAAAAATAGTTACAAAAAATATAAGCATTATACTTAACATGCAGAGAGTATGATTGTATGCCTTCACTTTATCGCCAGAATTCTTTCTTTGTATTCCAGTCTACCCAAAGACAACCAATAGCAAAACCTGACGCAAGTGTTTACCCGCTATTCAACCAGTGACTAGGCAGTAAGTCAATTTCCTCTCTAACACTGGTAAAGCAGTGGTCAGGGCTCAGAGGGTTAAGAAAAATCTTTATTTCTAATCTACACTGTTCACTCCCTGGGGGCCTCAGAAAAGTTACAAAATAAGAGTTAAAAATTAATAATAATGGTTGACAAGGCTTCAACTAATAAAAAACATTAAAGATAATACACTAGTTCACTGCTATTAGGCAAAGCAGTTTGCCGCAGTACCCACTGTACTTTCATACACTTAATATCGCTCATTTTTTTAAGAAATTCCAACCTATTTCACCAATTTCTGTGCCATCTTCACAACAGACAAAACAAACGGCAATCATCAGATGGGTCTTAATTTGTTTTAATAATTACACCCATTTGTCACACATTTTACCTTGATTTTGATGATCAAACAGCCCAAATTTTGCAAAATTTTAACACCTCAGCCGTTTCACATCTAATCCAATTGTATTGGTAATAATTACACGATCACTTTATATTTCTCTTTCATGCACAATCAAAGAGTTCCTATAATATTGGACTAATTAACAAGAATTCAGTCACTGCAATCAGATACCACGGATGGAGTATAAATAGGAGTACTCTTCTCTGGTTGATCATGTTCAATTTGATTGTACAACAGCAAATATCAAGAATCTCTCATAAACAAATATAAATAGCATGTAGTAATTAGGGGTCACGATCGAGAATTCCCGGGAATAAATTTCCTGTATAGTTATATTTACGTGTTAATTTACATGCTTAATTCGAAAATAACAAAGAAATTGATAAAAATTCTACCTTTTTGGAGTTATTGACAATAAAAGTTCAGACTCATTCGTGTCATGGCAGTCATTACTGGCATTGTTTACATATATTTGCTACAGAATAGACATTGACTTATCTCAATTATTGCACAACGCCAATAACGGCTGCCATGCCATAGCTGATGACGACACGAATGAGTCCAACCTTTTATTGTTGATAACTCCAAAATGGTAGATTTTATAAAAATTTGTTATTTTCGTATTAGGCATGTAAATTTAGACTAAAAAGTAACTGTTCAAGAAATTTTTATTAACTATTTAGCATGAGGCTTAAAAAGCAAATTACCTGAAATTTCTTATGGAATCATTGGCATAAATTAGTATAATTTTTAAGGTTCTTTTCAAGCCATCATGTATGATATATATCACAGAATAAGGCAAATAGGGCCCCCGAATCAGGTAGGTGTTCAACCTCCTATTATCACCCCCCCCCAGTTACCACAATTCACTTGTAGTGCGGGTCAGCCAGAGAGAGACAGACAGACAGGCAGACAAAGAATGAATATTTTATAATGTCTAAATTTATCTTCAGAACGGTCTAAATATAACAATATTAAATAAATAAATCTGTTTGATTTTAACTTGGTGCAAACTTTTAAAAGCTGAAAAATGTAATTTTTCTTGCTTACAGGATTTTCTTTTTAATTCTTAAACTGAAGAAAAGAAAATATTTTCAAACAACTTACCTCCATCAAAAATTCCTCTTCTGTATTTAGAAATATCACATCCTTCATGTCAATTGTAGAATTTTTAGACCCTTCCTGTTGTGGCCGACATGTTTTACAAATGAAAATGTATTGATCAAATTTATATTTCATTTTCTGTACTTTTTCACTTTCCAAGTCTTTCCTAAAAGAAAAAGTTATTTGCACAAATAAGCATTTGAATTATTTAAAAAAATAAAAATGGAAAGAATTTAAGGTTTCAATCAAGTTTTCTCAAAATAAATCCCAATATTTTCTTAAAAAAATCATTTAATCAGCAGTAACTTACCATTGCCTGAAGAAGTACAATCAAAGTATTCAAACATGAAAGCTTTTGTGTAGCGATTTCAACATGTTTTTATCATAATCTTATATATATATGTCTACTTGATATATTTTTTAAATGTTTTGTAATGAGTTTTATAAAAATTAATTTAATCTAAAACAAATAGAACTGATTAAATATTAAATTGAATTAAATAAAATCTGACATTGGATGCAAATATACACCACCATAAGATCGAGGTTTTAAATTCAATCTTACACTAAAAAATATTTAATTGTCCTAACTACAAAAATATTACCTTTACCCAACCTATTTTCATTATCTCCTCCTCCTCCTATATCAAGCAATCAAACAATATATGCAAAGCAAATTAACAGGTAAAAAGGTCATAAAGTAAGGATTGGCATCAACACACAAAAGCAAGTTCTGTCTTCTAGACAAGGCAGATCAGGATTGAGTCATGTCAAACTGCAAACTACAAATTTTATTGGCTAAGAAAAAAATCCCAGCATGCATTTGTGTGCTTTTGCTTATAAAAAAGGGGAGAGGGCAAGTGTTTTGCAGTCATTCCCATTATGGATTGTAATCAGTGGCCCTAAAAGAAATTTAAAACAAAGAACAGAAAGCTTCTTACTTGAGAGATTCATACATTGGTACAGCAATGGTGGAAGGGATGTTTATGAAACGCTCATGGAGGAGATAACCAGTCTGTTTGCTATTGCTGTCATCTAGAAGATGCTTGAATTCTGACAGTTTTTCTGCAGCTGATTTCTCACAGTTTGACAAGATTAACTGTTTTATTTCTTTCACACATTGCAGATCCTGTATAAGACAAAAGAAATTCAAAAACAAATAAAAAAAAAGGCCAACAGAAGAACTGTAAAACAGAATGACAAAAAATCACATACCCATTACATAATGAGTACAGAATATACAACAAAAAAAAGCACTCTCAGTTCAGTAAGAAAATTTCAGATGATTTTGGTCATTGATAATAGTAAAAGTTTAAGAAAATTGCTCCATCTTCACAGAGGAAACAGTGTTTTTTTTTTCTTCTAAATAATCTATATTATAAGAAAAGGTACATTGTAGCAAGTTCAATACAATCAAAATGCCATAATTTAACAAATAAAACAATTTCTGGTTTGCAAGTTATCATTAAAGAAAAAAATATCTGTTCAAAACTAATAACTATGGATCTATTTACTGCTAATTAGAGAATCATTTCCAAGTTTTCTGGAATAAGCATGGATGAATCCTTGATTTGTCAACAATACGCCACTAGCCATAGTGGAATATCAGTGACAATAATAATAATAAAGAATGAAAAATAGTGATAATTAGTATCTGAAAATGATTGTAATATAAATTCTAAACAATAGAAAAGTGACTCGTTACCAAGCAGAACCCAAAGGTGGGATTTAAGCAAGTATAAAGAGAATTCAGAATAATTGAATAAAAGATGCATCCTTCATCTTGGCAGAGAATATTTAGAAAATAATAGTTGTCCACAACAGTAAAGGTTAAATATTGGCTTTAGGAAAGGCCTTAATGTAGAATATTGGTTAGCTTACAAGTGGTCTGACACACAAGTAGACTAGTATAATCAAAACTAAAAACTGACCTGAGTGATTTAATGGAGAGATATATGGGTGAATAGAGACCACTCATGCAAATGTGTTGGGCAGGTCTATTTTAGCAAAATGGACCAACCCAACTGACTTCTACACTTAACATTTTTTTTTCAATCTTACATGAGTTGATTTAATAATTAAATGGAATTACCATATTTGATGACACACCCATGCAAAAAAACTAATGCCCCACTCATTTCATAGAAAATAGTAGTCATCTATAGTAATAAAAGTTTCAGCCTTATCTTCAGAAAACAGGATATGATTGCAGTCAATAATTTTAAATGTTGTGGAGATGTTAACCTACATGCTTTCAATTGTAGTCAATATAATTTATGGAGTTTCTTTTAAGATTTCATAAACATAGAAATGGAGATCAGTAATCATTACGGATACATTTGGGTTTTTTTTTTTAATACAACCTCCAATATGTGTGTGTTGAATATCTTTATGTATGTGTATTAACATAATGTCAATATACACACAAGGATATTCAACCAAAGGTCTATTAAAAACCAACACATTATATATATATATATATATATATATATATATATATATATATATATATATATATATATATATATATATGAACAATAAAAATATTGAGAAATTAAAAATGAAATTTTTCAAACACCCTGGGTTGTATATAAATATTATTTCAATTAGATTCCTTGACTAGTTTCTGACAGTTTTAGACTAACAGTTCATTCCCTTTCCATTAAAACTCCTTCAAAGCATAAGATTGGCACCTCCATGTTTGGCACTAGGAATGATGACCCGAGCACTGATGGCTTCTTCCACACTTGTAGTGCATAATTCCAATCAGACAATTAAATTTTAGTCTTATGATTCCATTAAAATGACTTACAAAAAAAAAAAAAAAAAAAATCCCATGTAGACACTGTCAAATTCCAAATAAGCCTTGTAATGACTCTTGCAAAAAGGTGCTTTTCTCGAATGGTTACTACTGAGAACATGTTTATTGAGCTCCCTGCTTAATATATATCATGGTACATTTAATCTTTTCTTTGACAAATCACAAATAATATATTTCAACAAAATTTTAGGTTTCCCTTTGCATTCATAGACAATCTTTTTTTGTAATCTTATAGTTTTGGCTTATGGCCACTGGCAGGAAAAGTTACAGTTTTTGTCTCATCAAATTTTTCCATACTGTACAGTTGACTTAGGTCATGAAAACTGCTTAGCTGCTGCTGCAAACTCATTCCTGAATTGCAAACATTCACAATTTGTTGTTTTCAATCCATGGACAGTTTCACCTTTGCCATTTTTGTTTTTGGTGATAGTCAACTTGAAGTAAATAACACAAAATGTTCATTACAGCAAACTCAGGACATTTTAAAAAAGTTACAACTCACAGATACAGTCGGATATATATTTTAGGAATTACATAATTAAAATAATTTTATAGCATTCAGGTAATTTTTTCTTGCCAATTTTCAATGATGTATTTATTATAATGCTATAAATTATGAGTATTCCACATTTAAGAATATGTTCAAACTTTTATGGAACAAAAAAAAAAAAAAAAAAAAAACTAATCACTATTTGAACACATATATGTTGTCAAGGTTGCTAATGTGAGTAATAACATGAGTATGTCAGTTTGTTATAAGAAAGATTTATCTAAAGATCTGATAACAAGGAAGAGAACAGGGGAAAACGATTTCATGCCTTTCTTATTAATTCAATTTTACCATTATGTCATATATAGCAATATGTAATTTACATCATTTTAACTTGCTTATATTACAAATAAATGTCACAAATAATGAGGGAAGGAGAGGTTACCTTTCTTTCTGACATGTTAATGACAGACATGACACCAAATACAGGATCTTCTTCCACTTCTTCATCACTGTCTTCCTCTTCAGGAACTTCACATTGCTTAAAGAAAAATGAATAAAATCAATCATTGACAATATAAAATATCAGCTTCCTGTCATAATGTCTTTGAAGTAAAAAAAAAAAAAATCCAACAATCAACTCATTATCAAACCTATTTTGCAAGATGAGCAGCACTAGTTGCAAACATAAAGACATCAAACTATCTTGGATTCCTAGCCACATTGGAGTGAAAGGTAACAATAAAGCAGACCTTGTAGCCAAATGAGCTTCAGATATGGATGTAGATTCAACGACCAAAATCTCATACACTGACTTTAAGGAGGTCATTAACAAATATATTCAAAAGGAATGGCAATGGTGCTGGGATGATAACCCATACAAATTCTTTGCAATTCAGCCCAAAATAGGAGAATGGAAATTGGCTTCCAGAAAATCTAGGAAGTAGTAGTACTTGCCTGCTTATGCACTGGCCACATGAAAATAACCCACTCATACTTGCTAAACAATGAAGATCAACCAGTATGCTAAGCATGTGAAACAGCATAATCTATTAAACATTTATTATCCAAGTGTTCAGACTTTGCTCTCTCATGACAAAAATGCATGAGATCTTTAAGAAAGCAAAAATAGATGACATGATATTATTTCTTAAAACAGTGGGCGTCTACCAAAAAATATGAACCAAATGAGAATGTCAATAAAACCAATTTCTCTACAAACTGAAAAGAATACCTGAAAAGAATACATCAATGAAGCCAAACTCTCGACAAAAACCCTCTTTACAAAAATACATCAATGAAACCAGATTTATAAACTGATATCTTACAAAGAATACATATTTCATTCATACAAATCTATTATAAAAATCTTGTCAGCATTAAATAACCCATGGAGGTGTTGATATGCTGTAAAACAAACCAAAAAGATTTCCAATATTTTATTGATCCATTATGACAAGGACCAAATATTTTATCATTTCTCTCTTATAAATTTCCTGTGTTGGCAAAATCAATCAGACTTTTTATTTGGTCACTTCACAATAGAAATTTAATGAAATTGAAGATAATGTGTGTGTGCACATATGATGAAAATATAGTTTTTAAGGTATGCTATATTTATAGGTAAAAGTGTCAATATCAGAAATAGTGCATATGTAAAAATAAATATAATAAATATAATAAGTGGCCTGAAGATTGCATGCAAAGCATGAAACAGACTGTCGTCACTCAGTGTTAACCTCATTTGCTGATATCCTCCCCCCTGACGCATAGACCAACCAATTACACAAAGGTCCCCTGATAAAACTTCAGAATAAAGGTGCTGAATAGAACATCAATCAGCTAAGTGACAAACTTTATATTTGTATTAATCCTATATAAAATTATGTATTTGGGCAGCTGTCCCTCTTTTATACAAGATTCATTAAATATGACCGACAAGCTTTTTATTCCATTTTTCTTGTGTTATTATAAGTATTTTCTTTTCTGGATATAAAGTGTGTAACAATTATCTAATTCTTTTTTATTATTAATGCTTCCAATATTTTTAGTTTTTTGGGGTTTTTTTTTTTTTTTTTTTTTACACGTGAATGAGGCCATTATCCACAACATACCTGTAGAAAATACAAGGATGATAGCCGCATCTACAGGTAAAAAAAAAAAAATAAAAAAATAATGGAAGCACTAATAATAATAAAAAAAAAGGATAACACTCAATAACATCCAGTATGAACATGGCCACAATGTACTGACCATGTTTGGAAAATAAAACATTCCTACAACTCTAGATACATACATAAAAAAATTCATAGATTCAGTGAAAAATAAATCATCCTCGATAAAAGCTAAGAGAATAGATGAAAGTGCTCAGAACACTTATATGAACACAAGAAAAATTAAACAAAAAGCTTAATCCCAGTACCTTGTCATTTGTTTTATATATATATATATATATATATATATATATATATGGGGACACATGAAACCAAGTGGTTAGCGCATTAGTCTTCTGATCATAAGACCTGTGTTCAAATCTCACCATGGTGAATTCTGGCGTAGTGTCTGAAAAAAATACCTTGAATTCTTATTCAGGTGTCTCTTCTAGATAACTTTGCGGTATTACAAGCCCAAACTCTTATTCGATGAACTGTGGTGGGCGGTTATCATGCCGTCTATGACAAGGGAGATAACTCATATTGTTTTATCAGTCATTTCATCTGAGTGATGTCCTCTTTCATTGTATTTATGTATAGAAATTTTTTTTTTGTGTGTCACAACCTCACTCAATGATTGAACTCACAACCACCACATAGCCTAGTGGACAAAATCATTGGTTATGCAAATCTAGCTATGTGCCCTACTTTGCAATTCATTGGTAAAGGGTACAATAGCTAAAATAAGGTCTGTCAGAGTAAATCTATGTATAATCATAATAATACTTCATCTCAAAAATTCACACAAAACTTTGAACATTCCACACACACAAAAAAAAAAAACAAAAAACAACACAACACAAATTAACAAAACTTCAAGACAAATAAATCTCAGAAATGGATTATTTCAATGAGTCCGGATTTTTATATTTTTTCCAAATCATGCCACTCTTAGTATATAAGGACATTTTTTTTTTTTCTTTTAAAATCCCATTTGTTACAGAATGCAGAGGCTGGACCAGGATGGTGAGTAATTGATCAGAATACCTTATGGACAGAGTTCTGACAGTTATGGATTGCCTTTGTTTAAATTTTGGATTAGGCTGCAAGGAAATTATTTGAAAAATAATAAGCTTACCATACCCAGCACATTCTCCGCATTCTAATCAAAGGAAATAATTTAATCATACCAGTACTTTTATTTGCTACATAACAGTCTACTATATAATGATAATTATTACATTATTACATAATGATTCAACAAGAACAATCCAGAAGGTAAATTAGATCCCTACAAAAATTTGCTGAATACCATAATGAAAAAATGCCGTAAAACTTCATAAAAAACAAGGTTTTTCATCAAAATGTTTATATTAATATTAAGTGCAAAGACCAAAGTATTTTTCATTATTTTATAAACATTTTTAGTCCTTTCTAGCACATTCAATATTTTGGTTAAAAATCTTGTTTTTGTTGCATCAGCAGATAAACCAAAGTTTAGTATAGGGAAAAAAAAAATCACTGTCTATCAAATGTTGAACTTTGTAATTTAAACACTTTACCATATTTGGTTGAAAGACAAGATTTATATTGGATACCACCACAGAAAATGCAATACAAAGGGTCAAAATGAATTTTTAAAAATAAAAAATCTTTCTTGAAACTTATGTTAACTTCAAGATAATAGATTAAATTTACTAAAATTACAAAGTTCAACATTTGATAGACAGTGATTTTTTTTATTCCTATACTAATCTTTGGTTTACCCACTGATGCAAGAAAAACAAGATTTTTAACCAAAATATTGAATGTGCTAGAAAGGACTAAAAATGTTTATAAAATAATTTACTTAGAATTTTCAGTTTCAACTCTTCACAGTTACAATGAGGAATTTTTAAATTTCTTATTTTCCAAGTCTATTTTCAATCTTCACTTCTTTCCAAAAATTATATATTATATTCAATTTAACCCTCTCTCTCTTTTCAACCCCACAACCTAGACATGCTTTGAACCCTACCACCTTATGTCATAATACAATCGATTTCCTAAGATGGTTAAATTGTCACAAAAGTCAGAAATTTGAATGTTGATTTTCAAGGCAGACACACTTTCTCAATTGGAAAAACTGGTACAGACTAAATCCTTTTTACCCTGTGACAAGTCATGCTGATTTTTCAAGGCTGATAAGCAGGCTGCCCTGACTTAAAGAACACAGCATAACATACCTACACCTAATCGACCTTGTGCCAGACTAGACTAAATATAGCAAATATCACCAAAAAATAAAATAAAATCCTATTCTAGTTCAGATCTGAAAAATTAGACGACATCATAAAAAGTTTAAAAGAAAAAAAATAAAGGGGGGGGGTCTATCAAACAAAAATAAAAATTCCAAGCATTTACCTTAATGACGCAACCAACATAATTCTGGGAAATAATGGTTTCTGCTAATTGACTAACATTTATATTTGATTTCAGGAACAACTGAAAGAAAGAAATCATTAAAAATAAAACAATAATGGCAAAACATATTTTAAGAATAATACAGACTACAACAAGATATAAAATAATTGAAAATCATTATTAATAGAGTTTAGCAGTTCATCAAATTTCTCTAATCCCCAAATGTTACTTTCCTGATTCACCAACTAAGGGACCAAAATTCTCCTCCCTCAACAAAACAATGTTTTTCAAATTCTACAAACATTCAAACATTTCTTGCCTGCTCAATACCAACATATAGTTTGCCATTCTCCTCTTTCAGGTTTTTTTTTTTTTTTTAAATTGAATTTACCCCAAGAAAGGCCACTAAGATACCAGGGGTTATTGGGTGTGGAAAAATTCACATTTCGGTGCAAAAACAATAGAAGAGTAACCAGGAAGATGAGATAAGAATTGACATTGCATCTAAATTTTTGAAGATCAAAAACATGGAGCCAGAAGAGTTTCACAAGCAAGATGTGTGAGAAAAGAAACTGTTAGCATAGAACTTACGGTTACATCTATCCAATTCAACTGTGAATTGATGAGACCTTGTAGTACTTTTTATAATGAATTATTTGCAGACATACATGTCTTTAGTTACAGAAGAACATTTTTCTTCTTGGTAAAGATTATTTTCATATTAAATATTAATTGCTTGCATACGCATAACTTTCTTGAACATGGCATCTGCCTAATTCACTTTTATGTAATCTGAGTATCAGTTAGAGTGGTAGTCTATGAATGATGTCTCAAGGAAATAAAAACCTAGTACTGCTTTGCTGAAGGGACATCTGTCATTTTGTGAGAAGATGAGTGATTTTTGTTGAGGACAACTACTACTAACAAGGACTATATAGTTACTGGTGAGAACTTTTACAAAGACTATTTTTATACCAGTGAGGAATTTAACTACAACAACATATTTAAATATATACTAAATATTTTGCAAACCTTATTTGATTCATTCCAGTTTTATTGTGGAAAATAACCTTGTATAATAATGTTTTTAAATGAAAATCAAATGTTTGTTGTTTAATTTGTTTGTTAACAACGCAGATATTTGATGCTATATGTTCATCGCCATACAGAAATTATATTTCATTACATAATAGACATCAAGCTCAAATTAAATTCTTTCTTTCATTTTGCTATCTTGTTAATCAGCCACAGGTAGCACAATAATTAACTTGGGTTGCTAATTTAATCTGTCATCATGACATCCTTAGAGTATTCATAGGTAAGTGATTCATTATTTCAGATCACATTTTTATTTAGAAATGACAATTTCCCCTGAAATTCACTCTTAACAATTAGAAGGAGGATTGGCCTATCAGGTTGCATGCAAATATAATTTTTTTATAGGGCAGACTTATTAGATAAAGTAGCTTAGGTCATACAAATTAGCTATCCTGCCTTTTGTGGGACTGGAATTTGTTTGTCTTTGGGTTTGATAAGTTATAAATTAGAGAGCAATATATTATTGTTATATTTTTATTACAAGAGTTTATAAAAAAACATGTTGAAATCATTACACAAAAGCTTTCATGTTTCAATACTTTGATTGTACTTCTTCAGGCGATGGTAAGTAACTGTCAATTAAATGATTTTTAAGGAAATTTAAAAAACAAATTGTTACCACTTTTCCAAAAGTTAAAGGACAGAGGGGAACATAAGGTGAGAATTAAAATTAGACTTGTAGGTATGTCTTGATTAACCAATTAAATGTCAGATCTATGGTAAATAAAAAAAATATATGCTCAGAGGGTGGAAGTGGGTGAGTTATTTTTTCATGTCATGATAAACTGGAACATAGGCCATCATTGGTTATTGAGGAAAATATGTCAGCAACAAATGTATCTTGATTGTAGACAAATATGATATTCAATTTTTTGAGAAAGTGTTGAAGGGAGGAGTAGGTAAATCAGACAAAATTAACAGAAAAAATTTTTTAAAGTTTTTTTTTATATTTGGGAAGCTTCTTAAAGGGGCCTGTAGAGAAAATTAAAAATGTGGAACATCTATACAAGATATTAATAATACTGACTGGATGGCAATACATAGCAATATTAAAGCTAAATAAACAAAATAAGCTGTAGAGGGTGGACCATTATATACTAATAAATTATGGCTATAAGAAATGCTTATATGTAATTTTTAAAATTTAACTATATTTTAAGTTAACAGATAAACTGTGTAGGCAATTAACCATTAATTCACTCCACTGGTTCAATAGTGTTTTTTTGTCAGCAAATTTTATTATCTCTAAATTTTCTTGTAAACATAAGAAGCACGGTTCATTTAAAGATTTACAAGTTCTATTTTTTTTTTTTTTTTTTTTTAAGTATTTTCCATTTTACCGTAAGGGTTTTATTTACTTTTAAGTTCTACAAATATTTAGAAAAGAACATCCTATTTCTGTACATATTATTGGAACAAGGTAATACATGTTGGTACCACCTAGTTTTAAAGGGATTCTTGGTACTCCTGATATAAAATTTTTTAACTGTTGGATTTTCTATGGTGGATATAGTGCTTAGATAAAGTAGAGTGTTTGACATCTGTTTTATAATTACACTTGTTGGTATTATCTGGGTTTGTTAGTTTGAAATGGCAATTATTACTTAGGCTTTTGCATTGATTTAAAATTTTATTATGTTTTTTTAATAATTTTTTCCAGATTATCAGTACAACTATAGCTTAGTTTTAGTGTATTTCTATTAAAAATCTTACTAAATGGATTATTTCTGGGGAAGTGTTTCTCAATTAAATGGAGAAACTTCTGCACTAACTTAGTCCTAACCATTTGGTTAAATGGGGGTGGGGAGTGTAGCAAATGATTTTTCTGCTTCTATTTTTATTTCTACTATCACTGTTATGTTTGATATATTTTCTATGTCAGGGCACTTATAGCCACTATTTTTTAAGGCAGTATTATAAAATTTACTATGCATGTAAAAGACATCTTCACTGGAAGAGTTATTGCTAATCCTATATTCTATGGAGGAGGGTATGAGTTTGATTACGAATGTAGGGTGGTTAGAATTTGGGTAGATATATATTGGATTGGCTTTTTTTCCCAACCCTATATAAAAAAAAAAAAATAAAAAATACATACATACACATATATTTTAATAATGAAATTTGTAATATTTTTCAGAAAAAATACACCCACCTACTGCTACAGATGGAAGAGAACATTATAGATGGAGGGGAATGATAGTAGTTTGAATAATTTTAAGAATAAAAAAAAAAAACTCAAAACATTAAACAATTAGTGAGACTGTTATGCTCATAGCCTTATGCCATTAGAGTTGACATGGACCAATAAAAGTCTGTCAACACCAAGAAAAGAAAAAAGTGACATAGAACTAAAGAGATTTTCCCAAGTAAATTCTTGGTTGTCCCTCCATATGTTTACTAAGACTGACAAGACAAACAGATGTTGAATGAAGACAAGCTTGAAGTCATAAAAGCAGTCAGCATCTGGAGATGCCCCCACCCTGTACCTGATGGGCCTTTTGTTCTATTTTATTTACAAAATGCAACTGTTTGCTAAAATAGATCCTAGACAACCATAGAAGAAAAAATAGTATAGATACACTGGCAGAAATGAAAAATGCCATATCCTGATGAACAATGTCAATTTTGAACTGGGTATGCATACATTGGGTAGCAGTAGATATGCTGATAAAATTTTCAAAGATTTCTGTCATTTTATGACATAACCAAAGTATCACTCTCGTCATGGTACTGCCTAAGCATTTGCTGATAAAGAATGCTGTGATAAGGTTCAGTGTGGGTAAGAGTTAAATGCAAATACCATATCATAGAGACAGTATAAGGACAGCAATAGCAAACCATGTGACATCTACAGCACAGATCAGAGAAATCATGATCCTGGGATTAGGACTATCTACATGGACCATTGGGAATCATTTACATGCATTGATAACTGTAGTCTTGAGACTATAGGCACATGATATGTCTCTAGTCAGACTTCTACTTCTGGTCACCATATTAACCATGTGTACATTTCCAGTCGTGTCATATGAGGGCTACAGTTGGACTTGAATAGTGCTCTATCATGTTCTGTGATGAGAAAGTTCTTCCATACAAATCATGGTCATTTGCATGCGTGATATAAAACTGAGGAACAACATTTTCCAGAGCATATTCACTCACAAAACACCAGCCTATCCCCAGGCATCAAGGTGTACAACTACAACTCTTAATCACCTTTAGTGTTAGTGAAGGGGAATGTTAAACAGCAGGATAATGATGAGCTGTTCCAGCAGGATACTGCCATGCTACTCAACATGCTCTGCAAGATGTTCAACAACATCTTGGCTGGCACAATCACCATACCTGACCTCCATTGAACATATGTGGGGCATATGACAGTGCAACAGCTGAATATAATTCTGACTGTACTAAATAATATATTGCACAATTGTATTCGCCAGTTATATGATCCTATAAATATGAGAGGACAGGCTCAGGTTAACACCATAGTGAAGGATATACAATGTAGAGTCCAGGTCCTGGTAATATTCTTTATTTTGGAATCTTTGTATATGTGATTATTTACTCTGAATATATTGTTTAATCATACATAAATAGAAACATATTCAGGGTGTTGATTTGATCTTCCATAAGTCCTTCTCTTTCTCCCATATATATATTCAGACTGTTATCCACATTGCCATATTCATGTTTCAGCCATTGTATGCTCCAGCCTTCTTCAGGTGATTGCAATTTCGAAATTGTTTGAAATTCCAATCACCTGAAGAAGGCCAGAGCATACAACAGCTGAAATGTTGTGAATATGCAATGAAGATGAGGATAATAGTTTGAATAAGGTAAATAATCATAATACCTCATTTGAGATATAGACAGACAGATATGTGTGTGTATAATATACAATATATAAAATAATATATTATAAAAGGATGCTGAAAGCAGCCATGCCCAAAAGGTATAAACACTAAAAAGTGCTCAATACAAGATTCCAAAATCGGAAATGTAGAGCAAAAATATTTTCAAAAACACTGAAGTGCAATCTACCTTACTACCCGGGTTTCAACCACAAGGTCTCCTCAGGCAAGTAGAAGAATGAACAATTCAGTGAATTTCACCACAATATATGAACACCAGAAGATAGAAAGAATGGTGAAAAGGGGAGGAGAAAGAAAGAGGAGAAGTGAGAGGGGGGAAAATATATTTTATATATATATATATATATATATATATATATATATATATATATATATATGTGTGTGTGTGTGTGTGTGTGTGTGTGTTATTATGGTGGATACACATATTTGAAATAAATGTCCCATTTCTAATACCCATTGTTTAAAAACAAAACTACAGAATCTATTTCAAATATGAGAATCCACTATAATAATATTTGAATAAAAATATATAAATAATCACAAATACAATTTCAACCCAGTAGAAAAAGATCTTGAAGATTTGATTTCAATCTCAGATGAGAAAGTGAGTTACTCTGTCACCTACAATGTCTTTCCCAGTTTACAATTAAATCACTAATGCCTGCAGCTAATACTGTGATGGCACTGATATTTTAGAGAGTGGGGTGACTACATTTGAAAATCTACATGTCACATACATTTATACTTCTTATTAAGTAGGAAAATTGATGAATTTCCTTGCATTCAAAGGATTTGAGATGCAAATATGCAGTCAAGTAATTTGGATAAAGAAGATAAATTGAACCTTTTCTTGTCCTTACCTGATTAAGCAAGGTTCGAATGCCATCATAATCACTGTCACAAGGAGTCATGGCTTCAAAATCTACTTGCATTTCCTGTATTAACAAAAAAAAGCAAAAAAATAATTACACACTGAAAAATGATTTTGAAAATCAGTACAAAAGATTTTTTTTTAAAAAAATACAAACAACATAATCTCCATCTGATCTTATTCCACACTATGTGCACATTTAATCTTACTGAAAATCTATACGAGAATATGCTGAACAGCTCTCAACCTGATCCATTTCTTGAAATCTAACCAAGTGACCCAACATTACAATTTTTACTTTGAAATACTTTCCTGTTACTCCAAGAATTTTCCCTCACCTAAGCCAGGATTTACATCATTTTAATGGTTGTAGGCAACAATTAAAGATTTAAATGACTTTGATAAAAACCAGATTTTTATGGCTAAGAGACTCGATCAGAGCATTTCTGAAATGACACTGCATGCGGACTGCTAATGTTGTGGTGTGTAACTACCAACAGTATTATAAGAAGGAAAAAATTACCAACTATCTAAAAGGCATTGCATGCCAAGTTATCAAAGTGAGAATTGAACAGAGATTTTCCTACCAAGTACTGTAACAATACGAGTCAGCCGAGATCTTGTTAAATTGAAAACAGCAGAACCTGTCACAAAAATAGATACAGAATATTTACTTTCAACCAAAGTGCAGTCAACTTCTAAGTATAAAACAAGACACTCAGACAGAGAAAGTCACAGAAGGAAGATAAATTACTTTTTATAGACAAAGAAAATTGTTATCTATAAAACTGAACATCCCATGAAAAGGCACACACAGAGAGACTGAAGCAGCCTTAGAGAACGGACAGGGAAGACAGCCATTAGACTGGGCATCTCCACCCCCCACTTTAGCTACACCCCATCTCAACTTCAATCATTTTGGGGTTTTTTCACTCATGAGTAATGATCTGGCCGAAAGATCTTTTTTAAGCCACAAATATTTAACTGGAAGAAACTGCATGCTGTCAATGAACCTGGTGTTTTGTTTGAGTTGTAATGTAACAGTACTACTAGCTAAAAAAAGTGCTACTGTTGCACAAATTGCAAAAAGCTTTAATCAAAGTGCAGGATGATGTGTGTCACAACACACACTACATCAATTGTTGTTGTATATGAGACTGTATATATGGAGGCCAGTCAGAGTACCCAACTTACTCACTGTCTATACCATGTGTGAAAATGTGACCTTATATTAATGGAAGAAAAGAGTTATCCATGGTTGAGAGATTTAGTGGCACCGGGATGCAATGGGATAGTCTGGTTAATACTCCATTGCAAAGCACTAAAAGTAAAACTTATTCATTCATTTACAAGCTTACATACTAGCTTCCTCAAAATCAGGCACACCACCATCATGACAACAGTCCTCTGTTCCATTATTAGCAGCATCTGCCAGTAAAACAATGTACTTTGGCATTCTACAAGAAGAGTTATACAGTTGCCCTAACCGTCAAATTTTCCAGATATGAATCTCATTGAACACTTAGCTGAAGTGTTTAAAAATGAACACGTTTACTTTGCAGAACCTCCACCATTTAACTAACATGAAGCAGTTAATATCCGAGTACATCCCAAAAGTCCCAGAGGTCTTTAATGAGTCCATCTGATTGGGTTATATAGCAATTTTGTAGTAATTTTGTAATACGGCGAACGAACACTTTTTAGTTTTTAGGTAGTCATAATGTAGTTTCCGGTGAAAATTAAACTTGCATTCCAAATAATTTTTTTTTAAGAAATTCAGACAAGATCACATTTATGATTTAAAGTAAACAAAATACGTTATTTTACGTTTTGAAATCATAAGAGTTGCCGATGATCGAACACAAACTAGTCACCAAACGCGTTTTCAAATTACTTTCATAGCGAGAAGAAAACTTATCTAATGTCTAATTACTTTATTCAGAATTAATTTCGAAATGTTCAGTACGATTCTTAAAACAGATCTAATTCATCGTTCATTGTCATCATACACTAGGGTACGACGATTTGAATGGGGGTAAAAAACAGAAGAAACTGATTGTTGTCTTCTCCAACGTTGAAAAGAAAAGTGAGCTTCACTTTTTAGCGCAATATTCCGGATTCGAAGTAAACAGAAAAAGTAAAAAAAAAAAAAAAAAAAAAGACGTTGCCTAGGATTCGGCATTCTCCAGACAACAACGCCTCAAAAGGGAAAAAGACAAACCATAGTGTCGACGGACTCGCTGAAATCACCAGACACGTGTAAAAAAAATTTTAAAAAAAAACTAAGAATCACATTATGAAATGGGGGAGCATCATGTTTATCTGCTCTGTAGATGCCGAAGATTAATAGAAGATTAACTAATCAAAAATAGTAAAGAATAATCTGCTTTGTTTCAAAATCAAATTCTACTGTCAATAAAATCATTATCAACCAGGCTCGGCAGACGGAACCTTCCGGCCTATGCTCCACCACTGAGCTAAAAAGACAAGTGCGTCAAGTTTTTGTCCACGTGCTAAGTGAGATGACGAACACCGGGAAATTAAAATTAAATAAGTTTCTCCTTTTTTTTTCTTCTTAAAATAAGTAAAACAAAGACTTCTAGGTCTTCTAGATTGTTTCTTTTTTTTTATGAAAATAAAAAAATATATACAGATTCATTCTAAAATTCGACTTGATTTGAACTTTTAAGCATAACAAAGTCGATTGTTTCGTAGTCAAAGTTTGTTGGATAATAAACTACAAAAAAGGGATTGATAGGTTATTTTTTAAATTAATTTTAAAGAGAAAAATGAGAATTGTTTGCATAACTCAGAAATTAAAGAATTAAACGAAATTCTACTCGATGGAAAATAAAATATATATTAAATAATTAAATCACGGTGTTCAATTTTTTATTTTTTATTTTTAAGTTCCGCGATAAAATAAAACAATTTTCCAAATATCAACTGAATAATTTTATTTTTAACGCTTCGTATTTTAATAAATAGCGACATTTATTCAATTATTAATTTTTAAAGGAATAACAAAGATTTTCTATGATGAGCTCATCTCTACTAAATTAAACTTTCATTCGAACTTAACAAAAATAAAATAAATACTGAATCAGACCTAATGGATAAAAAATAAAACTATACAGAAGAATTAAGACATCGTAAATATATCAAAATAAATAAATGAAAACTAAAAAAAAAATGAAGAATTAAATCAGAAAATATTTGTTTTTATAAACAAAACTTAGAATATCTTTTCATTTTTCAACAACTTTTTTTTAACAACCTGACGACAGAAGTAATTTCGACTTGAAAGAAAATCAAAGTAACGGACATTGCTCACCCCACACATATTAACATCTTCGTCTTCTTCACATTGACTGGACGAGTCTTCATAATCGTCATCACAATCATCGTCGTCGTCAGATTGTATTTCCATTTGCTCAACATCTCGCTTCTTCTTCGGAGTCGCCATGCTGGTTGAAAAGAAAGATGGTTGCAAGCAAAACCCAGACTGGAACTGAGAACGAAAACAGACAGACGAAAAACGATAGCTTTGACTTTTTCACTTTTTATATTTATTTTCACATTTTTTTTTTGTTTATTTATTTATTTGTTTTATTAATTGATTTTATCAAGATGTAAATATTATATTTTTTAGTATCAAAAGATTAAGCGCAAACAAAAGGGAAGAAAATTAAACAACTCAAAAACTTTAGAATTTGTATAAAAATCAAGCTAAAGTTTTTAATCAGAAAAATTCGGCTTCCTAAAATTACCTTGTATTTTCAGAGTCTGAACAAAAGCGGCTTGCTGCAATGAGCTGTTGGTTATATCCACTCTAATGTGACCAGCATGCAATAAGCTGAGATAGTACGGCATAATTCCCCCTACCCCATCCTTACACATGTCTTCCTTGATGATCATTCTCAGAATCAGAGTTAGAAATAATTAGTATTATTACAAATACCAGAATATATGCCATTATTAGGTTAACTTTCCTTCCTCTTCCCAAATATGTATGCACCATACTTGGCTGGTCATATGACTCTTAAAGGCCACTGAGTGATGTGCTAGTGAGGCCAGAAAAGAGTTTTGAGGTAGACAACGTGAAGAGTTGGTGCTCGTAGGCTACATGGAAAAAGTGCAGCCTTTTACAAAATGATGTACTAGAATTGTGAGTAAAGACAGACTTTTAGAATATTCGCTAGTCTTGCTTTTCAGGGTCTGAGAGAATGTACATAACATATTTCTAAACTTTGTTAACAAGTTTTCTTTGTATAAAATACAACCTTTCATTAATGTTCTTCTGACTTCTCCCTATTTTCGTTTTTAATATTCAGTAAATAGCTGTACCTTGTCAGGTACTATTGAGGCCTACCATATATGTACTTGGCAAACCCCAAATACCATTTTCTGTGGCAAACACGCATCAGTATGGAGCTCAGTATTTATATTAATGATTCTTCCACGTACAGAATTCAAGTAATAATAACAACAACTCCAATTCGTTAACAAACAAATATATATTGAATAAAATACAACAAGCATAAAATAATTTGTTATTCACAATATAGATTAAAGAAAAGGAAGTTGTTTCCCTTTAACTGTAGATTGATTGTAGTGAACTGTTTGAAGAAAGTTCTCTTGTGAGATAAATGTTCCGAAATAATTGTTAGAGCAAAGTTTGCATGTGAAGAATGAATAACACCAAGAATACAATTGCTTGAAATGTGTTGTGAATAAACTGGTTTGAATCAACAAAGTTCTGGTTGATTGTGCTTGGCGAAAGTTACAGAGAGAAAATGTAAGTTTGTAGTTACGAAATTCCGTGTCTGTGTGTGCGTTGAGCAAGATCGTGGATTTGTGTTGACGGCTGGAATCTTACTGGATCTTACTGGCGACTTGCAAAAAGTCGCCCCTTTTAAGGAAAAAAGGTAGGCTCCCACGGAACCGCGGGAAAACTTGATCTTACATTAAAAAATATGTGATTGGTTAAAAATTAACCAATCACTACACTCGTACTAAACAGAATAGGTAAGTATGCTCAGAACTAAAAGATTCAAAGGAACAACTGCGATGGCTAAATTGTCCTATACAAAGGTAGTAGTAATTTATTAGCCAATCGCAGGCGAATAAAATGACTTGGAGTGTATGCGGTGTGAAAAATATAGCAATCGCTATATCAATACATATGCAAAAGCGGCCTCAGATTTCATGTGCATATGTTTGTCAACTTCAGTTACATCCGTGATTTTCCCATTAACAGCGGAACAGTTTGGCATGTCTAGATACGGGCCTCTCTGCACCTGGTCAAGATCCGAGTATTTGTAAGATAAAAGCCCGGGAAAAAACAGCAGCTGGTATTTGGAAAGACATGGTATCTTATAAAGTCAGTCCCATGGGCATATTGTCCCTCAAGTTGCTATGGTTTCCAAGGCAGGGTTATTTTTTGTTATCTACCGTCTCTTTCCCCTCTCTCCCTATTATCTCTGTAGTTGTTAGGAGAGCAATTGGCTAGGTAGGTGTTTCTTCTTAATCTCAACAGACTCTTTGCTTACATTATGACATTTTCACGCGCACAGTGAGAGAGAGAGAGAGAAACGTTTTGATCTTACTTTGTTTATTTCTACTACAGTTCCAATGGTTGCATATAAAAGGCGAATCTAAAAGTGAATCTAGAAACGAAACAGACTTAAATTTAGCTGCAAACCAGATATTCTCCAAGAAACTATGATCGATGGAATCAACCTACCCTTTACAACACAAACATGTTTAGGCGCTATTAGACAATCATTATTTTAAATGTATTTATAAATGTTTTGTCAAACTTAGCAAGTTTTTCCCAATTAGCGATGAGGACCCATTATATGGTTTGTTATATCTTATCATAATTATGATATAAATATATATGCTTTGTTTGTTCTTCATATATATATATATATATATATATATATATATATATATATATATATATATATATATATATAATATAAAAGACCTACAAATTCAAAAATGATGTATTGGATCGTGATTACGATTCCGATATAATAAATTATAATAATGGAATATTAGTGTTTGAGCCTTTTATGTTATATTCTTACTCTATCCTGGACATTGAGTTCTACCTGGATTCTATCCTCTTTGGAATATATATATATATATATATATTTTTTAGGAGATGTGGGGGGGATTTAAAAAGAGGAGAGAAAGAAAGTCCTCTTTTAAATCCCCACATCTCCTAAAAATTCTCTCTGTTAAGGTTTCATCTCCCTCTCCTCATACTTACACTTTCTCTAAATTCTGTTTTGATTTCCGGTGTTGTTTTTTCTGTTTTCATTTTGAATTTGTAGGTCTGATGATTTGGATCGTATTTACGATTCCAATGGAATAAATTATGACCATGGAATATTAGTGTTTAAGCCTTTTTATTATATCCTTACTCTGTCCTAGACATTGAGTTCTACCTGGATTCTTCCTCTTGGAAAATTTTTTTCTGAAAATATACATGTATGGGTAATTTTTTTTTTTATATATATATATATTTTGCATATGTATGTATATTTTCCACTAATATTATCAATATATATATATATATATATATATATATATATATAGTTAAGTTACGAAGAACTTGGTAAACCGAATGGGTAATTCCAAGGAGGATGAAATCCTGAGAGCTCAATGTGAATACAGAGCTTTTATTTAATTTAATTATAATTTTAAATATCCCACTCTTTAACTATTAATAATAATAATAATATTAACGAAATCCCTTTAATAATGAAGCACTTCAGAAGTCACCTAAAGTTAAACTTTAACTATAAAATCAAACTAAAATCTAAATAAATTTCAAACGTTAAAATATAGGTAATGATTGAGAAATGTATGTGTGTATATGTAATTTATGTATGAAGATGGATGAACATTAGTGTATATTGTTGTACGTGTGTCTATGTGTGTATTTGCACATGTAAATGGACGTATGTATATATGGATTTGCATGAATATGTTTTTGTGAGATACATATAAGAAAACAAAATCTTTAATATTACCCTCAAATATTATTAAATAATGAAACCTAAAGGTTAATTAAGTTTACCCATATAATAATAAAGAAAAATTGCATTCATAAATTAGATTTAAAGTAAAACTAATATAGATGTTATTGTTACCGAATTTTTTTTACAATATTATGAAAGTACAATTAGTCGGGTAAATAAACTATTATAATTTTAAATATTTCTTTAATATGTTCTCGATAAATGTGCTAATAAAAATAGTAGTTAACTTATATTAAGTCCCTAAACTATTTACTTAAAAAATTAAATATTTAAATTGATAACATTCATCATTTTTTAGACATCTAAATTTCTATCAAGCATTGAAATCTATCTTTTACATAATTTTGTTACATGGAACCTTAAAGTAGTCTGTTTTTATTTAAATTATTTGCTCTGGATTTACATTGAGCTCTCTGGATTTTATCCTCCTTAGGTTTACCCATACTGATTACCTAGTTTTTCATATATATATATATATATATATATATATATATATATATATATATATATATATATATATATATATATGTATGTATATATACAGAGGAGAGAGAGATATATATATATATAAAGAGAGAGGGGAATGGGGAGAGAGAGAGGGGGATTATCAAGTGGTTAGAACAAGTGCTTTCTGATCATGGAGTTCACGTTCAAATCTCACCGTCGTCGACTTATCAGGGAGGTAACTTCTGGATAATATTGGTCTATGGGGAGACAACCCCAGTTTGTGACACCTTTAGGAAATGCCTGAAAACCATATCACTGTTGGTCGTTCTAAACTATGGATGATGCTAAGTAATGTAATTCAATGTCTAAGTATCCTCCATTGTTTACCTTTACTTACATATTTAGCGTTAAGAATATTTTATGGCATTTTCTATTAGTTATTAATTTTTCTCCTCCTCCCAGAAAGACTTTCTTTCTAAATGCAAAAAAAATGTCTAAAGTAATATTAGTTAGTGTTTAAGTAAAAATGGTACTGTAGCAATGATAAAAAAGAAACCAAACCTAAAACTTATCTTTTCTATTTTTTTAACTAATGTTCACCCTATACAATGCAGAAGAGCCACTCAAGGTAGAGGGTTACCGGAGTAGTTTGTTGCGTGAGCAGTTAGAGTAAAGGACACAGTTTATGAAGATATGTGGGAAAGATAATGCTTAACTCTTGAAGAGGTTGTGGGGGTCAATTGCCCTCACTAATTAATATTAGACACAATGCCACAAAATAATAAAAAGAAGAAGAAACAAGAAAATTCAGACAAGAGAAATTGTACAAATAAATAGATTTTTATATATCAAATGTACAAAACAATAGTTATGAATGGTGTATAAAATGATGAAATAAATTTGTCTTTTTAGATTCTTGTGTGAGATAATGTTCCAATTTGATAGACTACAAGTTGTAGAGTAATTTGTGTGAATTTGGAAAAAATCAGTTCAATGCAATATTGTTTGTATACAAAATAAACAGATGAAAGTTTGCGAAAAAAGCGTATGTGAATGTGACTTCCGTTGTGTTTGATATCTGAGTGTCTGTCGCTTCGTTTTTTGCCAACATGAGTTTAGTTTACATTGAATGAAGAAAATAGACTGTGGTTCTGTTAAAAAAGATTTTTAACTAATAGTCTGGAGTTCAGTTGAAAGTTATTTTATGATGAGTGTCGTCACGTAGCGTGTGGCTTTTTCGACTGATTTGCGCACCCCTTCCTGTTTCTTAATTGTTTGTTGTTTATATAAGCAATATAAGTCACGTGATAGGCTCCAGAAAATATTTTAAAATTTTGACGCTCCTGTACCTTTGATCAGGTCAAATTAAGTCCAGACGTGCGGACGTAGTCGACGACATGTCATGTCATATTTTTG